TGACCTCTGGGACCAGTGTAGGCAGATCCATACCCAGCCTCGGTTTGGATAGCGGTGTAGACAGAGTCCCATCCCGTGGAGGCTGGGAGACAGGTGTAGAAGAAGCCCCGCTGAGTAGAGACTCAGAGTTGTAGTCAGGTGTGGATAGAGCCCCATGTGGTGGAGTCTGGGAGTTGGGTGTAGATGGAGTCTCATCAGGAAGCAGCTTCAAGTCAGATACAGATGGAACCTCATCAGGGGATGACTTGGAATCAGGTGTAGAAGGAGTCCCGTTGGGTGGAAGCTGGGAGTTAGGTGTAGACAGAGTCCCACCAGGCAGAGGTTTGGAGTCAGGGATAAACAGATCCCCATTGGGGGGTGGCTCAGAGTCTGTAGGGCACATGGGGTGCAGCTCAGCTCTGGGGGTTGTTCTGACCCGTTCTGCACCTCGTTGGGGAGCTGGAGGCGGGGTGCCAGGGCCAACCCCAATAGCCTGTACAAAGTCTGGCCCCTGCCTAGCATCTGTGGTTGATTCTGAAGCTGGGAGTGGGGTCCTGGCCCCAGAGAGTACCGGGGAGTCTGGCTGGGCCAGGGCTCCCTGGTGCCCACCTCCCTTGGCTGCACGTCTCTTCTTCCTGCTAGGGCTCCGCATTGGGGCTCCAGGACTGCTGGGGGGCTTTTTGGGAGGCTGGGGGCTCTGAGGGGGCTCACCAGGGGTCCCAGAGGCAGGGCCCCGAGGGGCTGGGCCCTGTAAAAGTCTCTGCATTTCTCCTCCTGTAAACACCGGCCCCAGGAGGGACGCAGAGTGGCTGGGAGGGCTGGTGCCGGAGTTGAGGGTCTGCCCAACTCCTGACCCTGTGGACGTGCTGGGTGTCTGCTGACCAGCCCCTAGGGCCAGGATAGGTTCGCACCTGCTGCCCAGTGGTTGAGTGTCCTTGTCCTCCTCCTCACGGCCCCGCAGGCCCCTCCTCTCTAGAGCTGGCTGCCTGGTGAGGAGGGATAGGGGCCCTGGGGGACTGCTTCCACTGCTGTCCCCTTGGTCAATGTCACTGGACAAGGGCTCGTCCGCAGATGCCAGGTCAGCCTGCAGAAGGCCACACTCATCGGCAGTGGCTGAGAACTCAGCCCAGTCCTGGTCACTCAGCTGGACGCTGTACTGGAAGTTTTCCATGTTGAGTTTTCCACAACCAGACACTGGAGGAGGTGGCAGAGAAGAGATGGGGGAGGGGGGGGCGTCAGCGACCCTGGCTCAGGGCAGCAGGTTGCCTCCACCCCATGGTTTCAACTGCCATCCCCCAGGCTCCTGGCTCAGGGACCTGTGCTCCATTCTCCCCCTGAAATAAAAGCAGAATGGGATATTCCAGAGGAAATGGTGTCTTTCTTCCAAACCTTTTGGATTGTTTCCTTGGAGCTAGAAAATCTTCTACTCCCGCTCTGCCTGTTTTCAAATGGAGCTCATGATGATTATATAAAGAGACCATATGATGTTTCTGACGTCAGACAAGACTTTAGAACAGTGATGCACCTCATGCTGAAATGCTGTCATCCCATGGTTCTTGCACGTCTTTGCACAGCTTGGGGATTCGACCTCCACTGTTCTCATCCTCCAATGAGTCTCTGTCTGCCAGAGGGCTCCCAGACCCTGGCCTGTCCCAGCATGCCCCAGGAGGTAATAGGCCAGGGAGGCGGGCTACAGTGTCCAGCAGGTGACCATCCCTCAGTGACCTTCCGCCAGCCTTGGTGGAGACAGACTGGGCTGGGATGGCTCTGTGCCAGGCGTCCTCTGAGCTCGTCAAGGTCACACTGGGGCTGCCAGAGATACTGCAGGCTCAGCGGGGAAACTTGGCTGTGGCCCTGCACACGCCTGGCCAGGGGCACAGAATGCAGGGGCACGTCCTGACCCCTGGCAAGCCCCAGGGTCTGTGCCCCTACCTAGATTTACCAGCTGCCTGGCACCTCCTCTGTCCATCTCAGTGAGTTCAAGGCCTCTAGCCTCTTAACCCCCTAAGGCTGTCTGTCATCAGATCCTAGCTGGATGGTCACTCTGGCTGGGACAATCCTCGGATGGCTTCCTGACCCACTGACCTTCACCCTCCAATCTAACCCTGGGGAGGTACCTATGGGGATTGTCACCATGGGGGCCCCATAGGAAGAGCATGAGGACCAACCATGTCCTACCTGGGACCCCACAGTTGGGTGGGGCTCGAAGGGGGCTCAGTCTGTCCCAGGCGAAATAGTACAGGCAAGGAAGGCCCCACCCCCGGTGCCAAAAATACCATGCCCTACCAGTCACACGCACCTCCTGCTGCCCTGAGAGTCCAGGCCACAAATAGATGGCATTTGAGGGGCCTGCAGCTACGTGAGGAACACCTCCCGTGTGGCTGGACTTGTAGCTGGCTCAGACCAAGGAAGGAGAGGCCAGATGGCAACCAGTGCTCAGTAACTTGGCCTCAAGGGCTGTCTTCTCAGGCTGGAGGACCCTATGCACTACTTCCTTCAGCCCTTCCTCCTCACACAGACCCTTCTTCCTCCACCCACAGCCTGTCTCCTCACACAACCCCCTCCTCCAACAGCCCCTTTTCCTCTTCCCACAGCCCCCTCCTCCTCTCATAGCCCCTCCTCCTCCCACAGCTCCTCCTCCCACAATCCCTCCTCCTCCTCCGACACCCCCTCCTCCTCACACACACCCCCTCCTCCTCACAGCTCCATCTTCCTCTTCTCACAGCCCCCTCCTCCTTCCACAGCCCCTCCTCCTCATAGCCCCTCTTCCTCACAGCCCCCTCCTCCACCTACAGCCCCTCCTCCTCCCTCAGCCCCTCCTCCTCCCTCAGACCTCCTCCTTCCACAGCCCCCTCCTCCTCCCTCAGCCCCTCCTCCCTCAGCCCCTCCTCCTCCCACATCCCCTTTTTCCTCCCACAGCCCCTCCTCCAGTCCCTTTCTCCTGTAGTAACCCTATTCTGCTAGATATAGCCCAAAAGTCCACCCCTGACTCTTGGGGAATAGTTGTTGTTGTTGTTGTTAAGTGCCGTCGAGTCGGTTCCGACCCATAGCGACCCTGTACAGGGTTTCCGAGGGTGTAAATCTTTACGGGAGTAGAAAGCCTCATTTTTCTCCCACGGAGTGGCTGGTAGTTTCGAACCGCTAACCTTAAGGTTCGCAGCCCTATTCGTAACCACTACGCTAGAATAGAAAGAATTACAAAGGACCTGGTTCCAGAATTTTCCTAAAGGTCCTTTGGAAGTAGGCCAATACCAATCCTAGGCTCAGAGCTGACACCTTCTCTGACTCCCATCAGTGTGTTTGAACCTGTGGGTGGGGCTGGTGCAAGTGGGATCACTGAGCCGGGCCTTGTTCTGGAGAGAGTGGGGAAGACCCAGAGGAGAAAAGTGGACCCACCATTCCCAGCCTCGTTCCTAAGCTAGGCTCCCTTAGAAGGCCTGTGACAGGCAGCAGTAAGGGATCTCTATCCATTCACAGGTGGCCTGTGGGGAAGGGCATCTGGTAAAACTGACATGATGTGGGGGTGGGTCATGCTCTTAAGAGGTGGTTCTGGAAGCACTCTTTGCCATGACTATGATATGAGCACAGAGAGGGTGAGCAACTTGTCCATGGCCACACAGTTAACAACCAGGTCCCAAATTTTCCCCAATACACACAGCCAGGTCCCAGTGCGTGATGCCCCACCCTGTGGCCTCCTCCAGCTTTAGGACAAAAGGAAATGGAGAACTGGACAGCCAACACCTGAGCAAACAGGGAACTGAGATCATTCTGGAAGGCAGAGGCCTTTGAGTGGTGGGGGTCTGAGTAATGAGGAGAGATGAAACAGAGAAAGAGTGTATGAGGTAGGACCGCTGGGAGAGAGCATCAGAGGGAATCTCACTCAGGCTTGGCTCTTAGTCAAGCCACACACACCTGTGCAGAAAGCAACCCCCCCCCCCCCCCCCACACACACACAAGAGCAGAGGTGGGTTTTCATACATCGAGCGCACAGGTGGGCCCACACCAGGTGAAACACCTGCCTGGGAGCAATCTTGCCCCTGCCCTAGCCTGCCCCATACGGATCTGAGCACTTTATATCAGGGGTCACAAACCCAGAGCACATAGAGCCTCACACCCCACATCACACTGTTGTGAGCAGCCTGCTGTGTGGATGTCTACACTGCATTTACCCAGTTCACTGTGAATAGATATTTAGGTTATTGTGCTGTTCTGAGCAATTCTCGAGCACTTCTACCAATACATAGGTCTGCACCTGTGGAAGAGGGGCCAAGGGCAACTGTTTGGTTTTCAGGGAGGCTGCGCTGCAGTTTTCCAAAGTGCCTCCACACTCCATGCCCATGGCAGCCACTAGGGTGGGCTGTCGTTCTACATTGCAGTCACACCTGGCCGTGCTTGTCACATGGCATTCTGGGCCCTGGGAGGTATGGCACTGAAGTTTTCATCTGCATTCTTTGACAGTGAGGCCCGTGGCCACTGATGTCTGTTCTCTGTGAAGTGTCTATCCAGTGCATGTGCCCATTTTTCGACGGGGCCACCTGCCTTTTCCTTACACTTCATACAAAGTTGTTATGCATGTTGGATAAAGAGTTCTTCATGGAATATTGGTACCACGATTACTTTTTCCTGTCTGTCTTGCTTTTACACTCTCATAACAGTGCTTTTCAGGAGTTCTGGCAGCATAGTGGTTATGAATTGGGCTGCGAACCTGAAGGTCAGCAGTTCAAAACTACCAGTTGTTCTGCGGGAGAAAGATGAGGCTTTCTGCTCCCGTGAAGATTTACAGCCTCGGAAACCCTGAACAGGGTCGCTATGAGTCGGAACCGACTCCACAGCACACCACCAACAGTGCTTTTCAATAAACAGTTTTTCATTTTAATGTCCTGGTGTGGGGCACTGCAGGTTAATGTGCTGGACTGCAAAGTTGGTTTGAACCACAAAGTCAGCGGTTCAAACTCACCAGCTGCTCCTTGGAAACCCTATACAGGGTTGCTATGAGTCAGAACCAACTCCACAGCACTTAACAACAACGGCAATTTCAGTGTAGTCAGTTATTAAAAACTCCTGTCTTTGAAAGAAATTCTCGACTGTTCCAAGGCATAAAGATGTAGTTATCTTCATTTATTTATAAAAACCTGCTGGACCTCCCACTCACTTCCAAGTCTGTCATTCAACCACATGGCATTAACTTTGGGTGGGGATGAGGCATGGAGGGGCTTGTACCATGTCTTCCCACAGGAGGTTCACGCACTCTGTAGGCACATGTAGGCCTGTCTTTGGAAGCTCGAGGTCTACCTGTCTGTCCACAGGGGCACAGCTGTGAGCCTTTCACTGACTTTCATGAAGGTTTGGGGCAGGGGCAAGATGGCACCTTGTAGAGAAGACCAGGTGGGTCTAGAGGGGAGGCAGGAAGGTGAGGGGCAGTGGACGAGGGTGCTGCTGAGAAGGGTCTTACAGTGTGGAGGGACATGGGCCAGGGTAGTGCTGAGAAGGGTCTTACAACGGACAGGGAGGATTGAACTGAGTCTCAAGGTCACCATTTTATTCCTATCCCACATGCCAGACCTCCTGGAGGTCTGAGTGCTGTATGGGTGAGGATACCAGGTGGGTTCTGTCATGAATGTGGTGTGGCAGTGCCTTAGTCCAAGGTGTAAGAATGTGCCACACTGATAACCAACCCCATGTTGGAGCCTCTATGTACAGGTTCCTCATGAGCACAATGAAGTGCTCTGGAATCCCCAGTCTTCTCAATGTTATCCATAGTTTGTGATGGTCCACACAGTCGAATGCCCTTACACAGTCAGTGTTTATTTACAAAGCACAAATAAACATCTGTCTGGTACCAAGAAGTTGTTCAAACAGAACAAGGGAATACTGAATGGTTTAAAATCAGGAAAGGTATGCACCAGGGTTGTATTCTTTCACTATTCTTATCCAATCTGTGCTGAATAAATAATTCAAATAGATAGATTATATGAAGAACATGCATCAGGATTCAAGGGAGACTCATTGACTACTTGCAATATGCAGATAATACAGCCTTGCTTGCTGAAAAGCAAAGAGGATTGGCTATACTGATGAAATTCAACGACTACAGCCTTCAGTATGGATTGTACCTCAATGTAAAGAAAATGAAAATTGTCACAACTGGACCAATAAATGACACCATGAAAA